GGAGGCGGGGGGAAAAGGGGGTAACATTCTCTCTTAAGCAGATTCTTTCAGTCATAGAAGAAAAAATAAAAAGAACCCGATCAGCGTGCCCCGCCTTTATGCTTGATTGATAGCCAATGATTGGAGAGAAAACAATAATTTGTTACTTCCCCACCCTCAACTTAAATGATCTCCTCTTTACACTTATTTTCTTTCACAAATAAGGAGGAAATGAATTTTTCTCCTCCACCTACCCACTTTAATGAATGACGGGAATTTCCCTTTCTTGCTTGAATCATTCTAGTTAAAAATGGCGGATTATTATTTTCATATGACAATTTTTTTTTCGTCTTCTATATTTTAAGCAATAATATTTTTTTTTCTAATATTTCATATTTTATTGATTAGATATTCTAATACTAAAACATTATTCCCTTCAAAATAATGTTTATTTATTTTTTGCTTCTTAAATTTAGATCATTTTAAGCTTTGTTCCAGAATGACATGAATTTCCCCTTTCTGCTTGAATCGTTCTAGTTCAAAATGGCAGATTAATATTTTCATAACTGCTAAATTTTTTTCGTTTTCCATATTTTCAGCAATAATTTCCAATAAAAAAAGTAATTGTTTTATTTATACCTTCAATAACAATAAAATACTGATCATAAGTTAGATTTAAAATAAACAAGAAAAAATATTTAGTAGTCAAAACTTGTCATTATACTTTTACTTATAAAAAGGATAACTAAAATGTTTACTAACAGATGTGTGTGTAACTTAATGTTTAAAGCTTTAGAAAGATACAATCTGTAAATTACTTTGTTTGAAAAGTTATTGATATACAATTGAGTATTCTTAAACAAATTATTGAAATCGTGAGAAGGAAGGGGAAGCATGCAGGTTGCTTTTATGAAATTCCTATCAATGAGACTCCAAATGAATCATTTACGAGAAAAGCGTTAACAACCAAGAGGTGATCTGCCAAACAAGAGGAACGGGTAATGAAATATAGCTGGATTGGTAAATCATGTGCAGGTAACTGTTGTGTTTAAAGAAGGTTGAATTTATTTAGCATAACATGGAATTAAACTTCCACAACATCCACTAACGCCAGTGAATTTCTTAAATAGTCTCTTAGTTTTAAGGGTAGGAAAAAATTTAATTTCAATTATGTTTGAATGAATGTATAAACCTTTTTGTTGATTTTTTAAATCCTAAATTATCGATTTCTTGAAGATGAAATTGACACTTACTTGGTGAAAGTGTTATATTTAATTAAAATAGAAATAAGAATTTTTAATTTTCCTACAGTTTCTTCAAAAGAATTACTTTATCATCTTGGTACACAAATATTCCTTCCAGCTGAGTTTTCTCAATTATTGAATCCATAAGAGTCTGAGAAATTGCAGAAGCTGCTTTTAAACTGAAAACTAATCTATTTTTAAATGTGCTCTCATTGGTTGAAAATGCTATTTTATCTTGCTATTTTTCTGGAAGGTTTTGCTGTGAGAACATGTTAGGAAGATCTTAACAGCAGAAGAAGCAGTAATTATGTAAGTTTGAATCTTACGAAACAAGGTGTGCCAAATGTTTACAATGCTATTACTTAATCTTAAGTCTAAAGCCAATCTAAATTTTTGCTTCTGTTTGGGATCATTTGTATATTTTTTTTTACCAAAAGCATTGAGCATAACCACTGGATTGCACTCCATGAAATTAATCCTACTTCACCATTTCATGTAATTTCATAAGCATTTCTTGTAGTAAAGCTTAAGGCACAGAAAATGACAAAGTAGGAATAGGATAATCATGAATAAAAGAAATTTCAGGCATTATTTTATTTGTATGACCAAGTGCTTTAAAAATTTTGAAAAGACTTTATAATTTTCTAATAATAATCGTTTTAATTGTCATTGTTTTGGTTCATCGAGATAACCTAGTTAGAAATCATCTTCCTGTAACTCACTTTTTCTTAAATTTATAACATATTTTGTAGATTCAATTAAACTTTAAAATTCCTGTCTTTTAATTTATCTTATTTTTCATTTTTAACACTAGAATTTAATTTTGAATAGCCATAATCTCATACTGTATCAACAGGATACATTTGGCAAATATCTTGTCCCTTATTCAAATGTACAGTTTCCTCAGACTTGCTGTTAAGAAAAATATTACAAGTATAGCATTTATTATTTTTATTTTGAAATCTACAAAAGTTTTTAACCTGTCCCAAATTATAAATTGAAGCGTAAGTTACAATATTTTTATGGTCTAGAACCGGTTTAAAAATTACATTAGTATCTGAAGGATTTTTAACTATTATCCTTGCATAAATACACCGAAGAGCCATTATATTATGACCACCCTCCATCTATAACAATGTTTTCATGGGGCACATTAGGACCCATAATCCTCATAGAACAATCCCTGACATCTGTAAGCTATTTGAACATAGTTGCAAACCAGGTTCACCCATTCATGGCAAGTTTTTCCTGCGGGGGATGGTGTTTACCAACAGGATAATGCACCATGTCATAAGGGTCGAATCGTCGAGGAACATTCCAGTGACTTTCAAGTCATGTCTTGGCCCCCAAATTCGCCTGACCTTAATCCAATAGAGCATTTGTGGTCCTAATTGGAAAACCAAATTCGTGCTGCCACGCTACCCCCTTGCAATGTGAGGGAATTGCAGGACCTGTTGGTGAGTGCTTGGTACCTATCAGCACCTTGTGGAAGCAATGCCACGGCAAGTGCTAGCAGTTTTGAGGGCTAAAGGTGGTCCTACATGTTATTAGCAGGGTGGTCATAATGTAATGGCTCTTCAGTGTATATTCCTCAGAATTTAATGAAATCTTACGATTTAATATAACCCATCCATTTTGTTTATGAATTTGTTCAGTATCTGAATGTTGCTTATTATAAATCTCCTCACTAATACTTGACACTGGATCTTTTTCATAATCAAAGTTAATATTACTATTACAATGCTTTTGCCTTATTATTACTACCCTATCGCCTTAAATCATTATAGAATTACAATTTGGAAATAATTGAATATTATGCATTGGCATGAAATCATATCCCAACATTTCTTTAAAAACCAACAAAAAAATGTTTTACAAAAAGTGTATGTTTAAATAATTTATTATGAAAGAGATTTGAATAAAACTCAAAAACAAGACCTTAGAATTTATGGTACTAATTGAGAGCAAATACAAAACAGGTTCGTATTTATTATTAAGTTCATTAAATGTATAATTAGAAATTATTGAAAGAAAAGAGCTTGAATCAATCAGAAAAGGTGCAGAATAATCTTTAAATTGCACATTAATGAGAGGTAATTTAGAGGTTTTGCTATGCACATTGGCAATAATTTCATGACATTTATCAGTTTAAGTATAACATACATTTTGCATTTCTTTAGAATTAGTAGTTTAGGTAGAATTATTTTTCTTTTCATTAATTAATGATACATTATTTGCTGATGACTGAATAGGTGTTGGTAACTCAAATGCATCAGCATTATTTGATCTAAAACTTAGTTTAAATTAAGGTTATAAGGGGTAGTATTAGGGTTCGGATAAGATTCAGGTCTATTATTATTGCAAGTAGTATTAGGATTTAGATAAGGTTGAGCTCTATAACTTTGATAACTTCTATTATTTGGGAAATTTCTTCTATTTTGATAGTTTCTATTATATCTATTAGTTTGTTCATTTGGATGAACATTATTCAAATATTCTCTGCAAAATTTCATAATGAGACCATGTCTGCCACAATAAAACACAAAAATTCTATTCAAAGTTTTGTTAGTTATTGTTATATTAAGCGATATATGCGAGTGCTTTCTATTATTGCAATAAACTTTCTGTTTATAATTGCTATTTTTATAATGTTTTCCCTCTTTGATACTGATTATTAGCTTGATATGTCAATATTTTGTAATTGCTGCACTCCTTCTACAGAATTCTCATAATTTTTGATATTTTCTTCCAAAATTGTTTCTGAACTGTTCAACAAAATAGCAGGCATTAAGCTGTCTATAATCTCAAAAGTTAATTAATAGTTTGAATAGTTAAAATGAACTTAATAAATCATCCATTTAATATTTCATTGTTAACTTTTTGTCAAGATCTGGTACAGCAGGTGTACCATAATAACTAGATTTAAAATGCTGAGAGTTGTATCCAAAAGGTAAAATATTGTTGTGGATCATTGCATGTTGCAGATCATTTTGTAAAATTTTACTAAAGAAAAAACATCTGAAACACTTACTCGCATGTAAGGATCACACAGAATCTCTCTTAACTCTGCATCCTCTGCACATCCTATAAGAGAACTAGCATGTAGGAACTCTAGAACCTGCAATTAAATCTTTTATATTAAACATGAGATATTAATTATAATGATTTTATTTATTACAAGTACAACAGATTTGTATCTGAATTTCAAAATATGAAAAAAATCGGAAACAACGAATAAAACATCATATTTCTAATATGAAAAACTTAAAAAGAAAAAAATTTGAACTCTCACTTGCCAATAAAACTGAAAACTTATATAAAATACATTTCATTATGAAAAAAAGGTGTGTGAATTTTTTATTTATTATGAACAGAGAAGTTGCTAAAGGTAAAATCCATTAATAACACTTAACACATCCTCTAAAAAGTTGGATTTTTGAAGGAGAAGCAAGCTTTAAATGAACCAACAGAATAATATACTTAATACAAATAGTATGAATATAGTTTTAAATAAGTTTAAAAAGTATTTTAATCAATTAAATGAAGAAATAGTTTAAAATTAATTATAATTACGAAAATTAAATTGTTTGCCCATAAAATCATAATTTTCATCTGTAAACCCCATAACTCAAAATTAGAAGGGAAAAAATTTATCTACAAAAAAAAGAAAAAACAACAAAAATTAATAAGAAAATGACTTAAAAGGAGCAGACTTACCTCCCTTGCTGCAGGTAAGGCATCAGGAACAGGGCACCTGACAAGATTGTATGACTGGGTGCTTATTCTATCATATAGCTAAAATTAAACATGTACATATGTAAACAAAATAGTAAAATATCAATGAGTACATATGAATAAGTTTAAGTTCAGAATTTACTGGAAAGTGTAAAAAGGCAATTAATGTTTAGTAAAATATAATGTGAACATTTTAGGAAAAGCATGTTGCATCAAAATCACTAAGAAAAAAATACAAAGAAAATAACAGAAAATTCAATCATTTAAAGACTGAAAAGTTTGTTATAAAATAAACACTATAATACTAAAGACAATAACACTCATATATTTATAACAGTTAAGTCATTTTTAAATATTAACTAATAATTTTACAGTGTTATGAAATTAACATTCTAAAAATATTATTTATAATTATTTAAAAGAAAAAACACTTATTTTCGAATCTCAGATTATTAAGATATTTTAACTATAATTAATTACAAAACTCAAAAAAACGGATCCTATTTACTCCACTGCTTGTTATACATTCATTTTCAACATTCTAACTGATAATTATTGAAATTACGAAATATTAAACACAATTAAAAAGAGTTCATTTTAAGGTCATACACTATAAAATTTCCAATACAAATTTTTTAAATCAAATCACGAGTGCCATTTTCAGTTTCTCTGCCATGACACACTATATTTTAAATATACCATATTTTTAATTTAAAAGAGCATGGAAATTGAGTAATGTAAGATTATCAAATATACTATATATATTTAGTGAAGAAGGAATATCCTACAACATTATGTGTAAAGATTTAAACTTTTGAGTTGTAGGACCTATTTTCTGTTACAATTTGGACTCATGTGTTGATTGTTGTTAGCTGTAAAATTTTAACTTTTCAATATGGTTTTGTAATGAATACATGAAAACACTTAATAAGTGAATATATGAAATAATAAATTTCAAAAAACATTCACTTGTTAAGTGTTTCCTCATAAACAAAAATTAAAAACTTTTTAAAACCAAGAAAATTAAATCAAAGGTCCTTCCAGTCTGTTTTTTTTTTTTTTTTTTTCAAGTTAGTCAATTTTACCGCTAGATGCAAATTCAATCATTTCCTTCCGAAAACTACAAACAGAAGTTTTCTTATTTATTAGTAGTATTACAGGACTGTGAACTACAGCATTTTTTCAAAATATTTTTATAGTAATTGACAACAAAACCTTAAGCTTTCAGAATTTTTGGTAACTTTGCCAACATTTTAAAAACCTCCCCACGAGAGAGCTGGAACAAAGATGTTTCATATGAATTTTTTAATCATTTGCGAGTAATGGTGTGGAAAACAACTTAAATCAAATTTATAAAAACTACTAAGCTATTACTAAAGTATCTTCTGTTCTTAAGTTATAAAATTAGCTACCCTGAAAAGAAATTTTCCCAAAAAGTATAGTAAGGTAGCAAGTCTTGGTATTACCCAATTTTTCATAAAAAACTTTTTCAAGTTATAATCAATATTATAAATGCTAATTAACTAAAGTTTTAAAGAAACCCATTTCTTGAAGTGAAATTAAAACAGGCTGAACAGAAATTCTATTTTAGCATTTAAAATTAGGAGTGATATTAAGAAACATAACATAATAGATACAAAAGTAAAACTGTAATATAAAGATAAAAATCATTGAATTTAAAAGAGTAACAATTAACATTAATCTTATAGAGCTAAAAAAATTGAACTTTTACAATCTGCCGAAATTAGGTAGAAGAAAAGAGAATTTTAAGCATATTTTAACTGACAAACTAATCCTAATAATATATTGCTCACAGGGAAGTAATACAGTGTAACGTCCCATATCCGGACGTCCCTTTTCCGGAAGCAGAGCCGGATTACACCTTTCGTAGGCCCTAGGCACAGAGCCGTTTTTGGGCCCTCCCCTCCTTCCCCCACTCCTCCCCTCTTTTCAAAATATATGTTAAAATTTTCTTGCATATTTTTTTTTTTACATTTTTATTAATATGTATTTTAATTTACGAATTTGTTTACATTATCTGCAATACCGACATACTGCCGATATTGCAGTTGATATCGATAATACCATTATGATTAGTTCGATCGATAACTATGTAAACACTTCACGTCAACAATACAACTACAAACCAGCAAAGAAAACAGTGAAATTGATAGTGAGATTAATTACAAGAAATATTTATACAGTAGAGAACCAATTATCTGGGATGCTCGGGACCATCGCTATCCCGGATGTCTGAATTTCCCAGTTTTCTGGATCGACCAAAAAGTGTCATTAATCGATGTTTTATCGAACCCGAATTACAAGG